ATACTACGTGGGTAGCAGAATCCAAAACAGCGCTACAAGAAATTATTCAAGTCTCGAATAGCTTCTTTATACTTAATAATATTGAAATAAATAATGCAAAATCTGAAGCAATAGCTTGGAGACCACATAAGTGAAACATAGAAGAAACCTTTATACAAATTGGAACTCCACCTAGCCAAGTCAAAGTAAAGAGGCCAGAAGAAAATACTAGGTTTCTGGGAGTATAGATAAGTTTAAAAAAGCAAGAGAAAACGAGCATACTTCGTTGCAAAAAAGAAGTAGGTAAGATAACTTGCATTTTAAGATACAAGAAGCTTTCCGTGAGCTAGATAACTTATATAAACAATATGGTACTTCTTTCTAAGCTTGAATACTTCCTAGCTAATGTATGCTTTAAGAAAAAAGCTTGTGATTCAATACATCAACTGATGCTCAGACTCATAAAATAGAAACTTGAGCTTCCTTCGACATGTGCAAATGCAACCCTCTGGCATAAAGAGATTTTTGGAGTAGTAAGCTTATGGCAAAAACATATTGAACACCATATATCAAAGCTTTTCATAAGAATAAACTCCAATGGAATTGTAGGCATAACAACAATAATAAGATTAAAACAGTCACAGCTTGATATGGATATAGCAGAGTGTATATTATTATCAGGGTTGGTCAAATCACTGGTCAACCAAAAATTTGTTGGTCAAATTGGTCTAGTCAAATTGGTCAAATAGTCTGGTCAAATTGGTCAAATGATCTAACCAATCTTTTTTTTTTTTTTTTTTTTATACATGAATTGACATTTAACCAATTAAATTAAAACTTTTAATTATATAAAATTTAATAATTTAATTAATTTGCCAATTTGATTATAATTAAACTAGTTAAATTAATCAAATTAATCAAATTTAATTTGATTAGTTTATATAATTTCTATTATATATTTTACTTTAATTAACTAAACTATTTAACTAATATAAACTGTTGCACTTAAAAGTTCGGTATAACAGTTTTACTTTAGTAATAGGTAGGTTAAGTAATTAAATAACATTGTCAGTTTATGCTTAAGTAAAGTATAAGGTTTTATTGCAATTATGTTTTTAAGAAGATTAGAGTGATTTGCAGTTATAAAAGAGGCAATGGTTAAATGTATATAAAGATACAAATACAAGTAGTCATATAACAAGTTTATTACTATACTTCAAATTATTCATATATTGAAAACACTATATCTAGTTTATTAAATAAAGTATTTGAGTTGTTCATGTATAAAACATGATTACTCCTTTATTGTTGAGTTGTTGAAACTCTATTATGTTGTTGAGTATAAAAACTGTTTTATTACAAAAGCAATATTCGAGTTTATTTATATATTTCAGATTATTATAATCTTTTTGCTATCTTTCTATTAGTATATTTTTGTATGATTTAACTTTACTAAGCAGTTCCTGTACTATTTTAAAACTATTTATTTTACAAGTGCTTAATAAAACTTCTAGTGTTATGTATCGCTATATAGCACTTCATTGCACTACTAATATTCTAGACATTAATGTTATATTACTGTTATCTATCACAATATTAAATTATAGAGGCTAACGAAACTCTAACCAAATAATTAAATTGATTTAACCAAGCTTGACCATTTAACTATTATATCTTTGTACATAATATAAAAATTGTTGCTTATGTAGTCTTAGTGCATTCTTTAATATTATTTATTTATTTTTTTGCTTAATTTTTCTGCTCTTGGTTATGTTTTTTGATATCCAACCTGTTTAGTTAGCTTATTAAGCTTACTCCAGATATCCAGGCTGTCTGTCTAGACTATCAAAAAATATATCTATCTATCTATAACTAATTAAACCTTATTATTCAACTTCTCCTGCTTCTAGTAGTAGATGAGTACTATGACAAAACTAGACTTTCATCGAGCTAGCAGCAAAAGCAAAAGTAAATTCTGTTTTTATCCTATTTAAATAGCTATTATCCGGTGCCGCTCACTTCACTGACAGTCATTTCACCGAAAGTTCATTTAGCCAACATCGCATGGGATTAGAGTTAGGGTTTTATTAGTTTCAGGTATATATTATTAGTAAATTGTCACTTGGTGTGATGTTAGCTAAATGAGCTGTCGATGAAATAATTGTCGGTGAAATGATACAGACCCCTATTATTATGACATACTTATTACTGCAACATTATTAATTGATTATATTTATATCAATACCGATACTAATCGATTATACATCAGGCAGGACTGTGAAAGATATATCTCTTCTAATTGATGCCAATAAGATTTTCAGATCAGGTGTAATGTGAAAATATTGAATTTTTTTTTTAAAAAATCTCTTACCCTCTCATGACAAATAAATATTTCGTAACTTTGTTCACAGTATCTTAATTATATGAGTAGCGAAAAGGGAAAACCTGTAAATCATTTTCACTTATTGAGTGAAATGATTTACAGGTTTTCTCTTTTCGTTACTCATATATTGTACATTGGAATAGAATCTTACTAGATTTAAATTTGATTCTAAATACAGTTAGGTTGAACCGAAATTTACTCAAATCATCAAGGAATTTCAAACTAATTTATGAATTCACTTGGTACATATACAATTAGTAATAAAAGGTATTTGAATTCAATTTAAACAGCATTATATCACAAAGCTATTTATGCATATACCCTAGTCATATATTCTAACTGCACTAATTATTACAAGCGTGATTTTGAATGGCAAATACTTTCATAAGAAAAATTTGTCTTTTTTATATTTAAAATGATTTTTGTCCTATATTTGATTTTGAGACTTCTTGCACACTTATAACTTTTGAAATAATATTAACCAATCTGGTATTGTTTAAGCCTAAATAGAAGAATTTCAACTTGTGACAAAAATAAATAAAGGTTCCCTCTGGAAAGATAGTCATTGAAATTAAGTTACATGAGCTACCGTTAATAGAAATCAAGCTTAAAAAAAAATTAATCCTTTAACTTTCATAGCTTGTATTTCGATAAGTTTTGAGATAATTTTGATGAATCAATATTCAAAGAAATGCTTACGATCTAAACCTTCTTTTAAATATTAATTTATCAAGATAGTTTTAAAATTTATTGAAATATAAGCTGTGAAAGTTAAGAGATTAATTTTTTTAAATATGTCAATCTGTTTGATTCTATTGACAGCAGCTCATATGATTAAGAAACTTATTAGTGATGATTTGTTTTGTTGTAATTGGATTGGAAAAACTTTGTTGCGCAAATTCGTTAGAAACCAAATATTTATTTATTTAAAACCTTTCACAATGTCCAATAGGAATTTATAATAATCCATATAACTAAAATTTTCATCAATACTACTATACTTATAAATTTTTTTTTCTTTTTTTTTTTTTTTTTTATGAATCACAACCTTTTTTATTCATATTTAAACTTTAGTAAAATCAATATAAGTAGAAAACTAATATTTAAGACAATTTTTTTCATATGTACTTATTAAACTTGATTATTTTGAATTAACCACAGACTAATAGATTCATGCACTACATACTAATAGATTCATGCATAAGTTCTAGTTTGACGAAAGACTAATCCAATATTTTTTATTTAAATATAAATAAGAATTACAATTTACAAAATTTAATTTTCAATAATTTATACTATATTCAATTACAACTCACCTATTGTGTTGCTTCGACATTTCCAACATTTTGTTCAATAATGCGAACAAATGATAGTTGGGTTAGAACACGTGAAAAAAGGTATTGTAATTCAATTTTTGAATTTTTATGATTAGCCGGATGGCAATTAAGTCTGTCAGCAGTATTCAAGGTGTCTACGCTTATTTCTTCAGGCTCTTCATATTCTTCAAGTCCTTCATATTCTTCAAGCTCTTCATCTTCATCTATTTCAGTCCATTCTTTAATTATAGATTCACTATCAGTTAGGTCTTCGTCTGTGTTATTATCACTGTTATTTGCATTAGTATCATTTTCCTCATTCTGTTCGGTTATGTTTTCACTATTATTTTCATTATCGTCAAGTATTGTAACATTTACAATATTGCTGAGATTAAGTGTGTCAGATTCTGATTGTTCATAAGACGATGTTTGTATATCATAATTAACAGAACCTATAAGTTGATTTTTAATAGCTATATTTCGAACCATTTCAATTTTTTCTTGACGTTCTTCCCATGCCATTTCTGCTGCGATCTGTGTCATTTGAAAAACCGGTTTTATCTGCAGAATAAAATACAATAATGAAATTTTTTTTAGAACTAATTTTTAGCATTAGATATTTTCTGTTCTAGCCAATTACTGTATCTTGGCTTAAGTCATAAATTAAGTTACACATATGATAGTGATATATGAATCAACAGAAGGAACCATCAATGGTTCCTTCTGCTATATGAATGTCACTACCCAAATTTTTACATAATGTAGAGTAACGCAAAAAAACTATTTCTGATAGATTGTTAGCACTATTCCTAATAGGACAAGAAACAAATATTGATAATATTGATTTACATATCGTTCCTGATAGGGTTCTAAAAGAAGGACCTCAAAATACTATATTACTATATTAAAAAGTTAGGATTGGGGTTCGTCTATCAGGAACAGTACACAAATAATTTTTTTTTTTAATTCTATCAAGATCGGTACCGACAATCCATCAGGAATGATATTTTTGTGTGGATTATTTCACATTTTAGACTCATGTGATACAGTAATAATTTATAGTATAACTCAACCCTTACCTTAAGGCGACTTCATTGAGAGTTATGAAACCACCCCATGCGAGAAAAAAGGCGTTCACATGGAGCTGAATTGACTTTAATGCTGTACAGCCTTTGTGCAACCATGCCAATTTCTTTTAAATTAAGTGCAGCGAACTCCCAATACCGCAGTAGTGCAAGCCCAACTACATTATTTGACATCTTACCTTGCATATTATGTTCATCTGAAATCGCTTCGAGAGTATTATTAAACCGATCATCAGTGAAAATGCCTCGTTTTATATAATATTCTGTTAATTTTAATGTGATATGTTTTGGTTTTTTATTAAACCACTTTTCATAATAATATTCAATCCAGTTAGCTATACGTTCAATACTAAAAAAAACTTAGTTGGATAAAGCATGAGCTCGAAATTGTGGATTAAATATAACTGCTAAAAAAAGCAATGGCTGTTCCCAGTCAGCCCAGCGCTTTTCAAGTTGCTTTAACATTGCATAACCAAATCCGTTAGTTTCATCCTCGTACTGTTGCGCAACATATGCAAATGAATAGATTACATCAAAAAGATTTGCAGCATCATGCTGAAGGTAATCTAAAATACTAACAAATGGCAGCAAACAATCGGCAAGCTCATCAACATTCTTCCAAAATATTGTGCTATTAATAGCAGATCGTGCTTTACTTGATAGCTCATTTGAATTTAAATGAAGAATTGAATATGATTGCAAAGCCCGTTTACTTCTAATAAGAGCAGCGAAACAATAATAATAGGAATTCCATCGGGTAATTACAGGACGAACAAAGCTATAAATTGTCTTATAAATTCTTTGTTGTTCATTATGAAGTAATGATATTGCTTTTGAATGTCTTTTGTCAGTAAAATATGCCACTATTTCAATTGCCTGCTCTGCTACACGTTTATATTCTGATGAACATCTAAAAATATCACCAATACAAAGATTGGCCTGATGTGCAAAACATGGCAGGAATACAAGATCTGATCTTTCTAATCGTATTTTACGTCTAATTAATAAATTAAATATTAAATAAAAAATTTATCATTATAATTAAAATTTAATTAAACAATTAAAAAAAAAAATAATTAAAAAAAGGAAATTGCTAATTTTAACCGGGATAAAATTACTGGGTACTATATCTTAAAAATGTATTAAGTAATTAAGGTTAGATATTCTAAATAAGAATATTCCAAACCTCAAAACCTAACCTTAACTAAAATTTGAACAATTATATCTAACCTTCCCACTTCCCACTCTTTGTCTCAAACTGCACCCTAATCCAAAAACATAAGGGTGTGATTTTACTTCTAGTTAAATGAACAGAAGGAACTGTTGATGTTACACGATTAATCCTTCACCCGGTGTGCAACATATAAAAAAATTTTTTTACAATACCGATCATATGTTGCACACCGGGTAAAGGATCAGTTGTATAACGTCAATAGTTCCTCCTGTTAGTTAAATGTAATTATTCTCTTAAAAAAATTATTTATTTTAATTGAAAGTATTTTAAACATAATGCATACCGTGCTGAGGCGTAAGATGATGCGCTATCAGTTACCATAGCTACTACATTTAGATTTTGGTTTTTTGCACATTCTAAAAAAGCACGAATTGTGTTTAATACATTATCTGTTTTTTGACTAGTACCACTTATGTCTTCAGCACCCCAGATATATAATCTGTTTGTTGCTGAAAGAATAACAGCACCCAAAATTTCTTGACGACACACATTCTTCCACCCGTCAAACATAATAGTAACTGGTTCTTGTGTTTCTAAAAGAGCAGAAACTTGAGAACTTTCTAATTTTTCAGCATATTCTTTAAGAATTTTTTTGCTCAATGTTCGTCGGCTTGGAATTTTAACAGTGGTATTAAAAAAAGCAACAAACTCGTGAAAAGTTTTGGTTCCAGTAAATCGAAATGAGAGACCATTTTCAACTATCATACAAAGAAGTCGACGATGAAATTCATTCTGTTCAGTAGGTGATAACTGACGAACAACAAAGTAGGTATCTAAGGATGTATTTGGTTGTTTGGTTCGTATTCGTTTCATATTACGTGATACTAATGTTAATTCTGATGCATCTGAAATTCTAGAACTAGAACCTGAAGAAATAATAGACATAGCTAATGTATTATTTTGAGCTCTTGCCTGTCTTAATGCTATAACTGCATTTCGAGCCGTTGTTTCATCAGCATCTGGATACATCATTATTTCTTAGTCTTCTTCAGTCCAAAACTCATGCCAATAGGGACACTTTTTCCAATGCCATTGTACACGGTCCCATCTATTAAAAAATCCCCATTTTTCGTAGACTTGCCATAATTCAAGACATTCATCTCTTCCTTTTTGAAATATACTTTCTTTACTTTCACAGGCTTTACATATAGCCCGTTTGGTTTTTTGTGCTAGACCCAAATCATTTTGTACATGAATATATTTTGTTAATCTATGATTATAAGTTTGAGGCATATTTGAAATTTAATTATGATATGGAAATTATTGAATGATTATTTATATAATGATAATTCATATACAAGTATGATAATGCACTCTATATTTCAGTTCCAATCTTTAATGCGAAGTGATATTAAATCGCATGTTAAAGGCAGTCACGACTTCTCAGTTTTAGAGCATGTCACTATATACAACATCAACAAAGATGAAACAGGAATACAGGCATGAGAAGATTGAATGCAAATAAAGAATAATGCCTGTTAATAGATGTCACAACAGAAATGTTGAGTAATTGAAGGAGCCGGAAGAAAGCAAGTGCACATGCGCCTACATACATATATGATTCTGCTGTTTTTCACATTTCCTGTTCATAGCCGTCTTGCTTGACAGATAAAGAATGACCCACCAGTGAAATGTTGAGCAATTGAGGTAGCTAAAAAAAAGAAACACATACAGATATAGCCATTTTTCTCATTTCTCTGCTCACAGCTGCCTTGCTTTTACCAACTACCAGTCAATCCTAAAATGATTCTCAGTGCAATCACAATTGTTAGTATTATAGGATATTGCTATTATGCTAACTAAATTGGTTAACCTTCAGCCTAAATCATAATCTCCAGTCCAAATTATTTGCCAATGATAATCAGGTAAGAACGTACAAAATATTTCAGTGAATTTGACATATACCATATTTAGAGAACTGGCTGTCCTAAAAAAAGTATGCGAGTGCTTTTCATAGCATTTTTCCTGACAGTGATCATGTATTTAATGCATTACGTATGTCATGTGCTGTGAGTGCTTTTTATGACATTTTTCTTAATTATGTATCTAACGCAATTACAAATATTACAATGTTTGTGTAACTTGACCAATTTGACCGATTTGACCGCGGTCAAATTGGTCAAATTGTTTATTATTATGATGATCAATGGAATGTTTGTGTAACTTGACCAATTTGACCAATTTGACCGCGGTCAAATTGGTCAAATTGGTCTGATTGAGTGCTAACTTAAAATTGCATTATTTAACTATGTACATTTGTACATAAAAAAATTTCATATGATTAATAATTATAAAACAAGATAATACCTGTTATAAATTCTAGTTAAATTGGTTTAAAATATTTTTTTACCACATTAGAGTGTTAAATAAATTGCGTAGTTTAGTTCAGAATTTGAAATTTACCATTACCATTACTGCATTGTGTTTATTCAACTATAACAATAAGAAAAAATTTTTAACAGTAACATATAGGGTATGTTATACATTAAAAGGGCCCACATATGTACATTGTGAAAATGTAAATTACCCCCCCCCCCCTCGATATAGTATGAATTCTGAGAATTCTGAAAATTCTAGAAATCCCAAAAATCTCGAAAATCCCTAGAATATCAAAGATTCCCCAGATAATAGAGATAGTTAGAATCTTTAGTATTTCCGATATCTTTATTATATTCGCTATTTTTGTTATTTTATTACTATGTAAAAATAAGTATATGGGATCTTTGCTAGAAAAATGACCCTCCGAGGCTATGTTGATTTTGTGAATAAAAACTAAATTTGTCAGCCATCTAATTATCCAATTTGAATGAACTTTTTTTATTTTGTAGAACTTATTGAGCTCTACAAAAAAAAAAAAAATTGATTCAAATTGGATAACTAGATGGTAACAAATATAGTTTTTATTCACAAAATCAACATAGCCTCGGAGGGTCATTTTCCTAGCAAAGATCCCATATAAGCGAAGTCATTTCGCTCTGAATAAAGGACAGTTCTGACAGTTCTCAGCTTTGACAGCTCGGATATCTCTCAACTTCTAACTCAGTTAGAGTTCGAAATTGCATAGTATTGCCCCCACTAGTTACCTTCTCGATAAGTAAAATCAGTAATAGCGATAGTAATTAGTAACCAAATCTCGTGATTCTGAATTAGAGCTTCGTGATGTAGTCTAGAACTCTAATTGACACTAGTTACTCGAACCAAGTCTTTCCATGTCTCGGTCGTTGTCTTACCACTATTAGGTTCAGTTAGAGTGGTTTAGATGAATTTAGTATTGTGTTGTAGGGTAGTACTGGTATTATCCAGACACAGTGCGAATCCAACTTTCACAACATACATCAATTAACATATGGGCTAATATGCAAAAAAAAAGCCCAGTACCCCAAAAATTTTTGGTAATGAGACAGGTTATTTGACGATACAATTGTCTGAAAGACTGAACAATAACAATGTCAAATAGCATGTCTCAGCAGGTCCAGGCTAATAAGTTAAACGATAATCTTATGGTTTTAAGATAATCTTATGGGTTTGATGCATATTCATTAAATCCTTCTTGCAGAATCGTGCTGAATAGACCTTCATTAAATCAAAACAATCTCCCTAATGTTTCGTCAGACCAATTAAAATTAAGTAATGGGTTTAAACGAGCTTTAGTGACTCTATTTAGAGTCAAATTCTACCAACTAGCCTATATGAACGAGATTTATGATAGACCAATTCGACCTCTGATTGATGATCGATAGTTAAGTAAAAATAACAAATTTGATTATAGTCAAATTGGTATAATTAGTAGTTAAAAAAAATTTTTTTTTTTTACTACATTAAAGAGTGTAATTATGTACTGTATTGTCCTTTAGTTTGAACTAGGGATGTTAAGTGGTCCACGTGGACTGGGTCCGGATCAGACTTTTTAGAATCTAATAGAGACTAGTTACAAAACCAGTTTAGCTCTCATATAATATGAATAGAGTGTCATTTTTGACACGTTAAATAAAATTCAATAAAATGTGAATCAGTAATAACACACCCTGGGTACTATTACGGTGTAATTTTTATTTTAACCTAAAAAAAATTTTTTTACAATAATATAACTAAAAACAGAATAAAGTCTGCTATAAATTTTGATTAAAATATATATTTTAAAAAATAATTTACAGAATTGAAACTGAATTTTCTTAATTTAAATTTTTTTTTGCATTTCTAATAATGCATTTTATTAAACATTTGTTTAAAATTTTATTTTTATTATGTAACAGTAGTATATTATAATTTAAATCAGAATGTATTGCATTACTTGAATGTATATAAGATTTGTAGTGTAGCAAAAAACTTTTAAAGTTTATTTATATTAAGGTTATAGTCAGATTAGATATTAGAAAAAAGTAGTTTATATAGTAAAATTGGTTAATAAAAACTTTTATTGGAGCACTAAAAGGTAGTTTCATATACTTAAACAATAATATAACAAAAAAAATTATATTATTCTAATTATATATTTTAAGTTAAAATATATTTATATTATAAATATATATATTATATATTTAAATATCATTTGACCAATTTGACTAATACTAAACCTTTTGACCAACTGGTCAAATTGGTCAAATTGGTCTGGTCAAGCTTGACCATTGACCGGTCCATTCCAACCCTGATTATTATCTAAGAATATGAAGTGGAAGAAAACAAAATACAAAAACCTAGGAGCTGAAGTACTGCAATACGCAAAAAAACTAGAGCTAAGTATTGCAGAAAATGAGTTTACAGAAAGATGGAACTTCGCAAACATATGAGAAGAAGAAAATTGTTTAATTAGTAATATTCTCGATAAGTATAATATAAAAGAAGTACAAACAGGAATAAGTAGACTCAATTTATGGCATATAAACCAACTCCTAGACGATAAGCAGGAGAAAATGGTTACCTGGAG